ATAGTGCCACTTCCCAACCGGCACAACCTCCTCTGTCATTCCTGTATATTTTGTACCCTGGTATTACCGTATCCCATTGATTATCATCATTCCACCAAGTTTCTGTGATGCCTATTCTATCAATATCCTCATTTAATACCAGGCACTCAAAGTCACCCATCTTAGTATTTCAATTTCTAGCATTTATAAATTTCAAGCACTTATCAAATTTGTCAATATTTAGTTGTCTGCCTTCAAGTAATGTAATTGAATGGGACTCTTTTTTCCATTTGACTGTTTCTTTTCAGCTCCTATCTGTATTTTATCAACTTCTATCCTCTCCTGTTCACTAGGATATCCTCCCTAAGCAATGTCTCTGTCCAAACTATATGCTCCTCCGCATCTCTCGTCTTTCCCCAGCCCTTAATTGAAAAACTCCTCTATGACCTTCTTTAATTTTACATGCCAGCAATTTGGTTCCCTTTTGGTTTAGATGGTTTAGATGGAGTGCTCAGTTCCTAATAAACTAAAACCCTCCTCCCTACACCATCATCTTATCCACACATTGAGACCCATTGTGAAACTGGAAGCATTTCAGAGAAAAGCTACCATGGAGGTCCTGGACTTCAATCTCTTACCTAACAGACTAAATTTGCCTTCCAGGACTTCTCTCCTACCTTTCCCCATGTTATTGGTACCTACATGTACCATCACCATGGGCTCTTCCCCAGCACTGAACATAAATCTGGCTAGATGTCTCGAGAGATCCACAACTCTCACACCCAGCAGACAAGTCACTGTGCAGTTCTCCTGGTCATCACAAACCCAACTATCTATAAAAAGAAAAGGATGACTTGTGGCACTTTAGAGACTAACAAATTTATTTGAGCATAAGCTTTCGTGAGCCTCAGCTCACTTCACTGGATGCATCCAATGAAGTGAGCTGTAGCTCACGAAAGCTCATGCTCAAATAAATTTGTTAGTCTCTAAGGTGCCACAAGTCCTCCTTTTCTTTTTGCGGATACAGACTAACACGGCTGCTACTCTGAAACCAACTATCTATATTTCTAATAATCATATCCCCCATTACTGTTACTGGACTCTTCCTAATAACTGGGGTCCTCTCCCTCAGAGAGGTATCCTTAATGCGAGAGGACACCGTGACATCATCTGGAAGGATGTTCCCAACTCTGGGACCATTTCCCTCCACTCCCTTTTCTTGTTCTCCTTTCCCAAGTTTTCATCCTCCTCAACAGCACAGAGGCTGTCAAGAGTGCGGGTGGGACTGCTCTACTGTGTCCTGGAAAGTCGTGCATCTCTCTGTCTCCCCTAGCTCCTGTAGTTCAGCCACTCTGGTCTCAAGAGACTGTACCATGAGTTGCTTACACTGAATGCCCACATACGCCACCTGCCCACAAGGCAGGTAATCGTAAATGCTGCATTCAGTGCAATTAACTGGATTGCCCCCCACTCTGCACTGGATTTCTGCTGGCATTATTTTTATTCTTGCAGCTTTTTGTTTGTTTGTTTTTGAGGGATGGGCTGTTTATTGGTCTGAGCTTAGAGAATGTTAGCTGTATCTGGCTTTCACGTTCCCTCTCGAAACTTCCTTGCAAAACTCCCCTGCTTGCTGCTCCTGTTCGCAAGCTCTTCTGGTTGCTTATGAACTGACTTTTTAAATCCCTGTTCTCCCTGAAAAGCTGAACTAAGATCAAAGGTTGGCGGGCTATATCCTTCTTAGGAAGCGCTCAGCCTTGCCTGCCTGGCCGCTAGGCCCAGCACATACACCCCCAACCATACCACACTATAAACTTCAGGAAAGCAGCAAGCACACAACAAATAGACAGCAAACTCACTCCCAGGGTCATGTAGTCGCTTCTCCTTCACTTGGAGAACTCAAAACTTCCCCGTTTGCTGCTCCTGTTCATATGCTTAAAGATAAGCACTTACGTCCTTGAGTCAAGACCTAAATCAGAGAATAGATCATGTCCAGTGGTACCTCTAATTTTTCCCACCCATGTGCCGAATTAATGTTGTTATGTGCACCAATAGGAGGTGATGTGTGACACATCATCTCCATATTGGTGCACATAAAAAAATTCATGTGGGAGGGGTGGGGCCAAGGGATTTGGAGTGTGGGAACTGGCTCAGGACTGGGGCAGAGGGTTGGGATATAGGGGTGTGAGGGCTCCGGCTTTGGGTTTGGGCTCTGGGCTGGGGCAGAGGGATGGGGTGGGGAGGTGAGGTCTCTGTCTGGGGGTGCGGGTTCTGGGGTGGGGCCAAGGATGGGGATGAGGGGTTTGGGGTGCAGCGGGGCTCCCTGGGGCTATGGTGGGGAGAGAGGACTCCCTTCCCCCCTCTCTCCCTGCAGCAGCACCTGGACTGGGGGGAGGGGTGGCTGTCCACTGGCCGCAGCAGATGCTGGGCTGGGTTGGGGCTGCGGGAGAGGCGCCTGTCCCTCACCCACAACAGGTTCATGGCCAGGCTCGGTCAGAGCCAGGGGAGGGGCACCTGTCCCCCAGCAGCGGCAGGTTTGGGGCTGGGCTGGGTCAGGGCCAAGGGAGAGGCAGCTGTCCCCCACCCGCGGCAGGTTCAGGGCTGGGGGAGGGGTGCCTGTCCCCTGGCAGCATCAGGTTCGGTGCTGGGGGAAGGGCGCCTGTCCCCTGTCCATGGCAGGTCCGGGGCTAGGGGAGAGGCATCTCTCCCTGCCGCAGCCCTGAGCACCTGTGCTGTGCTTAGTAGGTAGCTGCGCGCCCATGCAGCTTAGAGGGAGCTTAGGTCCGGCCACACATGGTGTGTCTGGACAGCAAAAAAAAAAACAAAAAAAACGCTGCAGAAGCGACTCTCGGAGCCCAGGTCAATTGCCACAGGCTTTTAGGGCTTGTGCTGCAATGCTAAAAATAGCCATGCAGATGTTCCTGCTTGGGCTGGAGACAGGGCTCTGAGATCCACCTCTCTCACCAGGTTTCAGAGCCTAGGTGGGAACATCTACACAGCTATTTTTAGCCCCTCAGCTTGAGCCCAGCAACGTGCAGTCAGTTGACCCCAACTCTGAGACTTGCTGCAAGTGGGTGGTTGTTGGTTTTGGTGGGGTTTTTTTTTTCCGTATAGACATACCCACTGTGGTTCTTAAAAATCAAGTTGGATTATGTAGTATTTTATTTAAGAACAAAATAGAAAAATGTAGTAAGCCCTTATGATTGATATCAAGGGCAGAGTTATGGTTGACGTTTCACACACAACAAAGTGAGAAATGTTCTGATTCCCACACCAACCATAACCCTGTCATAGAATTCTGTGTTATTCTATGTTGTTTTGACTTTACTGCCCTACGTGTAAGATGGATAGAGGTATGATAACATTTAATTTATTGACTTGTGCACTTGTAAAAATTTTAGCCACAAGGTTGCATTGGCATAGATTTTTATTTGATTACCTTGGAGCTTTTAAATAAAAAAAGACACTGATTTACAGTCAGATAAGCATGTCTGAATGTTTTACCATTGGAACAAATGTACGTTCCAGATTGTGGGCACTCTGGGTGCATTGCGCCCCCCCCCCCCATTTTGAGATAGCTTAAGAGAAGACTCACTATATCTAGTCTTTTTTCTTTAAGCCCCCACGATGTCCATTTTAAATTTTGCAGGTTTTTAGTATTTAGTGTGCTAAGTGGAATGCATCCCCAGAACATGTGAAATCCAGTTTGTGTTGGTAGCACATTAAAGTAAATGTATTAGAAAAGAATTGAGGAGATATGCAGAAGCAAAATGACTGGCAATGATAGGTCATGAAAGGTCAAAGTAGTGATAAATAGGCTATGATTTTCATATTTATTGGCTGATTTTTAATGTATTTTTCTCTGTGTAGATTATAGTCAGGACTGGCAGAGTTTAATATTTACTTTTTTATAATTTTGACAGATAATAGCAATGTTTATTTTACATGTTTTTTTTTTCATTTTTATCTATTTAAACTTTCACAGTGGCAAGAAATTACTGGTGGGATCAGACAGCAATTATTTAATGATGGTAGATGTTGCTATTCAGAAAAATAAAGCTTTTGTAATCTTTAACATACAAGTTGTCAACATCACATGTCAGAATATATAAAGTCAAAATCCTTAATTCAAAATCTAATAAATTCTCAAGCAACATTTTTCTTACTTTGCCTATCTGTAAATTTTAATTATTGATGGAAGTATGTTTTCATCAGTTTGTGTGTGTGCGGTGAAATGGATGTTTACCAACATTTACCAATAAAAATGTAATCCTTCCAAGACTAAATATAGTGGAGGGGAGAATCTGTAAGAGCATTAGGTCTCTCCAACACTAATGAAAGTGTCTACAATGAATGACAACTAGTGGAGTCTATGTTAATATTTTATTTACTTCTATAGGACCATAAATATGTGCACCATAAAGAACACAGCATGTAAATAAAATATCCTAACTGAAAACAAAGAACAAAATCACTTAGGAGGAAGACCTTATCAAAGGCATGAACAGATGCAGATCAATTAAAAAGAAAGAGTTGCACCTAGATCTGACCAGTAGATTTAGACTTGGTGGAAGAGGTGGAGTTTTATAAGAAATTTGAAGAAGTGTCTAGGTAGGTCAACTGTGGTTTGTGTTTTGCAGGCTTTATGAGGACAGTCCATCTGGTATATTTTTCTACGTTATGTTGTTTTCCTTCTTTTGTTTCTGTATGCCTACCATACTTACATTCACATTTGTCTGAGCGCCTTATAATCATTAATGTATTCATCCTCACAGTCCCCCTTTGAAGTAGAGAAATGTTGCCATCCCCATTTTACAGATGGAGAACTGAGGGACAGAGAGACGTCTCAAGATCACAGAGGTGGAACAGGGAATTGAACCCTAGACTGCCGAGTCCCTGACCTTAACCACTGGACCATCCTTCCTCTTTTATTTATTTTTAATTTTTTTATATATGCTTAAAAGTAGGTTCTCTGGTAAGAAGCAAACTTTAATAATTTTAAATTACTTTAACCTTTTTACCAGAACCAGCCTTCTACTTTGGAGATGTTGAATACTATGTTGATGAGAGTGCTGGCTTTGTTGAGGTGCATGTCTGGAGAACTGGAACTGATTTGTCCAAAGCTGCTACTGTTACAGTGAGGTCTCGCAAAACTGAACCAATAACTGCAGAGGGTGAGTGATCATTTCGCTCTTGTGTCATTTTTCCTTAATATGTCTTAACATGGAGCACTGGTACATCCAGTGTGGATTCAATCCTGAAGACTTCTGGTTTAGGCTCAGAAGTGGCTCAGAGAGCCACAAGGCTAGGCATGCCACACTTGGTGTTTGCTCTGAACCTTCGAACAGAGGCTTCTCCATAGTGTGTGATGTTCAGAAGTATGAGGAGACCTCTGTGCCCACACTGAACTGCATGCTAGTAAGGGGAAAAGTGAGCATGATAAGGAGCAGAGAAGGGGCATGGACAGGTGTTGAAATGAAAACTGACGAATGGAAACCATGGGCTTTATCCTAGAAGGTGCTGGCTGCCCTCAGCTACCATGAATTTAATTAAACATTGAAGCTGCTCAGCACTTCCCATAATCCATTTGAGATGCACGCAGCCCATTTTTAGATATCACAGTTATTCCTACTGCTAACATGAAGTAAGGGCTTATTCAAATGTGTTTAAGAGCCGCCCTTAGACGGAAATGGAAGCAAGGGCAAATTATGAGCTTCAGCCTTCCAGTGGTTCCCACAAACTATTATCTCTCACATTCAGTTGCTCATTGCCTCCCAATACATGCTAGGCACAGAATTCTTGCCAGCCTACAGTTCTTTCTGTCCTCAGCTTATTATACTTAGTCTGTGTCTACCCTTGGAGCTAGGGGAATGACTCCCGGCTCACACAGACACACACTCATGTGCTAATACGAGGAGAGTTAGCAGACTAAAAATGATAGTGCAGGTGTGGCAGTACAGGCAGCTGTGAGTGGCACCACAGGCTAGTTGCCCCAAGTACATACCCAGGGGGCCAGGTAGGTAGGTAGGTACTCAGCACAACTAGCCCATGCCGCCGCTCACCCACTGCCCATGCTACCCCAGCTCACCAATGGTTTTAGTGTGCCAGCTCCAGGAGAGTTCATGTGAGTAAGTCTATGTGAGCTGGGAGTCATACCCCCGGCTCCACATGCAGACATACCCTCAGAGCCTTCATCCACATGCTGAAAGGATCAAGTTCTAAATTGGTATCTGGAGCTGGAGACATACTGTACTTAGTCTGTTTCTAAAACATGGCATTTTATGCTAAAGTGTTCTTTTGATGTGGAGAAGTCATGAAGAGTCCAGATATTTTTCCTAGATGGTTACATTGAGCATGAACAGACATTAGTGTTTAGTTACTGATATAATTTTAAAATACTCTTAGTTGTCATAAGCCTTCTTGTTATGATGCCCATGACAGAAAGACTTAAAGTCTGGGTTTATTATTAGTATGCCTTTCCACATTTTTGTGCTTTCTCTTGGAAAATGAGATTATTAAGATGTCTAGAAAGAATGTCCATTTACTTCATTTCTTAACTATTATTTTATATGATCTGTTGGGTTTACCTCACCCTAAATATTGAATGCCTTTTTGTTCCAGAAAAGCATAACAGCATTATAGGAGTTTACAGCCAGACTGTGTTTTTGGTCTTCCCTCACTGGATAAACTGTTAAATAGTTTCTCCCAGAACGGTTTGGTTGGTTTGGTTTGCGTCTCACTTACAAAAGTTTTACATCAATATAGCTCCATTCACTTAAATGGTGTTATTCCTGATTTTCAACATGGTAAGTGAGATTAGAATCAGGCCTGCTCTAGGTAAGAAGCTTTTTGCTTTGCATGGCTGCAAAAGTTCTAGAGAGTTTTAAATGATAAAGTAAAAAGTACTTATTGACAATAAAAGAAAGAGATAATTACATTTTTATGAGTTACTATCATCAACTTCCTGACTTTAGATCCCTTATTTTCTTTAACTAAATGCTGTGAAAAACAGTTCCATCAATGTCTTCAGTTGTTTCTTTGTGTAGCTGGGGTAGACTACGTAGGCATCAGTCGTAATTTGGATTTTGCCCCTGGAGTCAACATGCAGACTTTCCGTGTGATCATTCTGGATGACCTTGGACAGCCAGTATTAGAAGGAATTGAGAGGTTTGAGCTTGTGCTGCGAATGCCCATGAATGCTATCCTTGGAGAACCAAGCAAAGCTACCATCTTCATCAATGACTCAGTCTCTGATTGTAAGTATTAATTATTTTCACAGGAAGAAAAATGATGCTTGCAATGCAATAGATTATATTCTTCCTTCTGAGTCCATATGGAACTAATGTCCAGGCATGGTGTTTGGAAACACTATATTGCTGAAGTTGTGATCTTTTGGATGAGGTGTAAAATCGGGCTCCTGACCACTTGTGGTCATTATAAAATTTCTGGGCACTTACCGGTCTACATACACTTTCGGCTGGCTATAATTTCTCACTTATTTTCCTAAAACCATGGGGAATGTAGAAAATGTACATAAGGCCTGAAGATAAATACATTTATATTAGTTTTACATTTGCTAGTTGTAATTTTATAGACATAAGTTGTAATATTCCTGATTTATACCAGTGTGAGATCAAAATCAGGGCCATAGCTTGTAGTTTTGTAAAGCAATTGTGGTGAAATCTTGGACCCACTGAAGTCAGTGGACATTTTTCCATTGACATCAGTCGGGCCAAGATTTCACTCTTTGAATTGTGGGAAATGTGCTAAATAAATCAGTTGCTACCTGGTGAGGAGTCTGCCATATCATAAGCATATATAACATGGCACATAACACCATTATCTTAAAAGCAGTGGCTATAGGAATTGATCATTCTGGATATTTTATTCCTTCCTTTGTATGTGTCTGTCTAGTGCCTAAGATGCAGTTTAAAGAACCTATGTACATTGTCAACGAAAATGATGAAGAGATTTCTGCCATGATATATAGGAGCGGGGATATCCGCTACACATCTACAGTACGCTGCTATAGTCGGCAGGGTTCAGCCCAGGTAATGATGGACTTTGAAGAACGTCCTAACACTGACGATTCCATCATCACTTTCCTTCCTGGTAAGCTACAGTTCTTTGTTAGAATCCTTTATTCTGTCAGAGTTGGTTTTGCTTTAAATCATGTGAGTTTTTTTCTCATAGCAAGGGACATAGAGACTGCTTGGGGGAACAAAGCTCTCTCTCTACAGAATAGGTAGAGCGTGAGCAGAGACAATATTCCTCACACCATCCTGCCTTAATCCTGAACTCGAGGGGGATCATCTATAGAGACACAAGGGATATCTTTTTGCTAAGACGCAACCACTCATCCTTACAGATGGATCCCATTGCTTTGCTGCAGGCAGATCTGGATAGCAGGTGATATCACAGAGGAAACCCCCAGAAGTTCTGGCCCCATTAGGCAGACCATCAGCAAATCCAGCTATCTGTCGCTGGAATGGGTAAACACCCTTTAACATTGCATAGGGACACAGCTAAATTAATTATTGCTGTCTGATGTTTCTCCTCCTTCCTGCTTATTTCTTCTTTCTCAGTCTGCCTGGGTGACTCAAAATATTGAACCCAAAGAAGGAACATGAGAAAATTGGGTATTACTTCTCCTTTGAGGGAAAAATTGCTTGAGTCCCTCTTGGTGGTTATCAATCCAAACCTCCTTTTGCTTGACTGGAGAACAGTTTCTTGTGTCCTCATTTTTATATGCTCGACATTTTTAACTTCTGGTTTTTTTCCAAGCCCTGAACAAGTTTTTTCCACTATATGTAAATCTTATGATGCAGAGGACCTTCCCTCTTATGGAATAAGAGGGAAGGTCCTCTAATGGATGAGTAACTGTTAAAAGATAGGTTTCAGAGTAACAGCCGTGTTAGTCTGTATTCGCAAAAAGAAAAGGAGTACTTGTGGCACCTTAGAGACTAACCAATTTATTTGAGCATAAGCTTTTGTGAGCTATGGCTCACTTCATCGGATGCATACTGTGGAAAAGACAGAAGATGTTTGTTTTTATACACACAAATCATGAAAAAAATGGGTCTTTATCACTACAAAAGGTTTTCTCTCCCCCCACCCCACTCTCCTGCTGGTAATAGCTTATGTAAAGTGATCACTCTCCTTACAATGTGTATGATAATCAAGGTGGGCCATTTCCAGCACAAATCCAGGTTTTCTCCACCCCACACACATCCCACCCCCCACAAACAAACCCACTCTCCTGTTGGTAATAGCTTATCTAAAGTGATCACTCTCCTTACAATGTGTATGATAATCAAGGTGGGCCATTTCCAGCACAAATGGCCCACCTTGATTATCATACAATTTGTGATATATGCCATCATGTGCCAGCAATGCCCCTCTGCCATGTACATAGGTCAAACTCGGCAGTCTCTACGTAAAAGAATAAATGGACACAAATCAGATGTCAAGAACTATAACATTCATAAACCAGTCGGAGAACACTTCAATCTCTCTGGTCACGTGATTACAGACATGAAAGTTGCGATATTACAACAGAAAAACTTCAAATCCAGACTCCAGCGAGAGACTGCTGAATTGGAATTCATTTGTAAATTGGATACAATTAACTTAGGCTTGAATAGAGACTGGGAGTGGCTAAGTCATTATGCAAGGTAACCTATTTCCCCTTGTTTTCCTAACCCCCCTCCCCCTTCCTCAGACATTCTTGTTAAACCCTAGATTTGTGCTGGAAATGGCTCACCTTGATTATCATACACATTGTAAGGAGAGTGATCACTTTACATAAGCTATTACCAACAGGAGAGTGGGTTTGTTTGGGGGGGGTGGGGGGGATGTGTGTGGGGGGGAGAAAACCTGGATTTGTGCTGGAAATGGCCCACCTTGATTATCATACACATTATAAGGAGAGTGATCACTTTACATAAGCTATTACCAGCAGGAGAGTGGGGTGGGGGAATAGAAAACCTTTTGTAGTATTAAGCACCCATTTTTTCATGATTTGTGTGTATAAAAACAAATATCTTCTGTATTTTCCACAGTATGCATCCGATGAAGTGAGCTGTAGCTCACAAAAGCTTATGCTCAAATAAATTGGTTAGTCTCTAAAGTGCCACAAGTACTCCTTTTCTTTTTGTTAAAAGGTAGGAAACAAAGGGTAGGAATAAATGGTCAGTTTTCAGAATGGAAAGAGGTAAATAGTGATGTCCTCCAAGGGTCTGTACTGGGACCAGTCCTATTCAACATATTCATAAATGATCTGGAAAAAGGGGTAAACAATGAGGTGGCAAAATTTGCAGATGATACGAAACTCCTCAAGATAGTTAAGTCCAAAGCAGACTGTGATGAGTTACGAAGGGATCTCACAAAACTGGGTGACTGGGCAACAAAATGGCAGATGAAATTCAATATTGATAAATGCAAAGTAATGCACATTGGAAAACATAATCCCAACTATACATATAAAATGATGGGGTCTAAATTAGCTGTTACGACTCAAGAAAGAGATATTGGAATCATTGTGGATAGTTCTCTGAAGACATCCACTCATTGTGCAGCAGCAGTCAAAAAAGCTAACAAAATGTTAGGAATCATTAAGAAAGAATAGCTTGTAAAACAGAAAATATCATATTGCCTCTGTATAAATCCACAGTACGCCCACATCTTGAATATTGAGTGCAGATGTGATTGCCCCATCTCAGAAAAGATATATTGTAATTGCAAAAGGTTCTGAAAAAGTCAACAAAAATGATTAGGGGTATGAAACAGCTTCCATATGAGGAGAGGTTAATAAGACTGGGACTTTTCAGCTTGGAAAAGAGACAACTAAAGGAAGATAACATAAGAACGGCCATACTGGGTCAGACCAAAGGTCTATCTAGCCCAGTATCCTGTCTTCCAACAGTGGCCAATGCCAGGTGCCCCAGAGGGAATGAACAGAACAGGTAATCATTAAGTGGTCCATTCTCTGTCGCTCATTCCCAGCTTCTGGCAAACAGAGGCTAGGGACACACAGTCAGCCTGTGGAACTCCTTCCCAGAGGATGTTGTGAAGTCCAAGACTATAACAGGGTTCAAAAAAGAACTAGATAAATTCATGGAGGATAGGTCCATCAATGGCTATTAGCCAAGATGGGCAGGGATACCTAGTTTTACAACAGTCTACAGAAAAAGTACCAGTGAAGTCAGTACAAACTAAAATTTCATACAGACAATGACTTGTTTATACTGATCCATATACTATACACTGAAATGTAAGTACAATATTTATATTCTAATTGATTTATTTTATAATTATATGGTAAAAGTGAGAAAGTACGCAATTTTTCAGTAATAGTGTGCTGTTACACTTTTGTATTTTTATGTCTGTTTTTGTAAGCAAGTAGGTTTAAGTGAGGTGGAAAACTTGGGTTACTATCAAACTATCAGACTCCTGAAAGGGGTACAGTAGTCTGGAAAGGTTGAGAGCCACTGCTCTAAATGGGCTTGAATAGACTAATTTTACGCACATTGTTTTCTGATTGTTCAACTAGAGACATGTTGCTACCGATCTTCCAAGGTGATAAGAATCCACTTCTCCCATGGGCATCAGTGGGAACTGAGAGTGATAGGAAAATCAATTGGGCTGCCGTAAATTAAAGTACCCAAAATTAGAGACTGTTCTTTAAAATTTGGTCTTGAACCTTCCTGTTCCTCATTTTCCACCTCTGAAAATGAGGATAATACTCTTCTACGTCTCACAGGCATTGTGAGGTATTAGCTGTACAACTATGTAAATACCCAGTCTTACTATTATAGTAAATAAAAATGTTTTTGCTGCTGCTATTGCTATTACTTTCATTCGTTATTTACTTAGATAGGGCCAGTATAGGTGCTGTGACCGATAGAATTGACTTGTGGGTCCTAAAGCTTGAGAGAAATGCCTGTAATACATCTAGAAACAATTTTAAGTTCTGCATGATGTTACTTTCTGCATGATGATTCCAGGTGAGACTGAGAAACCTTGCACCCTCATACTTGTGGACGACTCTCTCCATGAAGAAGAGGAGGAGCTTCGTCTGGTTCTTGGCACTCCAAGAAGTGATTCCTCCTATGGTGCTTCTATTGGCGAACAAAATGAAACCCTGATAAGGATCAGAGATCATGCAGACAGTGAGGAGTTATTTTTGACCCTACAAATATCATTTTGACTTTGGTATTGAAAAGCTCTTTTGTGAACACTATTAAACACTTTTTTCTGTTATTACAGAGGCCATTATTAAGTTTGGTGAGACCAAATTTAGTGTCAGTGAACCAAAAGATACAGGACAGCTGGTGGTTGTAAAAATTCCAGTGCTTCGTCTGGGAGACACGTCAAAGGTTTCCATTGTGAGGGTTCACACAAAGGATGGCTCTGCCACCTCTGGAGAAGACTACCACCCCATGTCAGAAGGTATGAAAAGACTCTCCGTCTGTCAGTCAGATCAATATCACATCCTATTGATTATTTCAGCCACAATTGTACAGTATTTAAAGGGGGAAAAGGCATTGTGAACTTTTAAGCTTTTAATACTTTTTAGCTGCCTTCATTAGTGCTTTTTGCCTTTTGGATTAATAAGGCACAGGAATGGAATTTCATATTCTTTATCTTCCAACAATTTGGAGTTGCAGTGTATTCTCAGTAATTCGGAGAGTAATCCAGCATATGAATGTTTTTAAAACAAAGCATTACTGATTCTGAAGTAAGTATTCAGCAATGCGAAATGCTTTCCCCTATGACCTACTCACAGAATAAAAACTCAAAGGAAGCAAAACTTTTATATTGGAATTTTGTATGAGAATTATACCGACAAAGTTAACCCAGAAGCAATAACTGATAAATAAACTAGAAAATACACTGAGTTAGTAACCTAATGCTGCATCTCATAGATGTGATTTGCATATTTCAATAGGAAAGACAAAGGGCAAAATGAGGTAAAAGGACCTGAAATCAGGATATGGATAATTTGTATACAATACCAATGCCTTGGGAAATAACTGGAAATATGCACTGGAGTAAAGAAGAAAATTACTAGAAACAGACAGCAGCTGGGAAGCACATAATCTATCTGTAGCCTATCTAATCCAGTTTATGTGGCCATAAGTGTCAACTAAGATTCAGAGGGTCACATAACCTGGCTGTTCACTTAGCTGACTCACCCTGAAGACTGTCAGATCTGATGTGTAAAGGATGGTGGAGGCAACTCACTCCATGCTTGGAAAGAAGTGGGGAGCAGAGAACAATCCCAAACAGCCCTAAACCTGGTTCTCTTCTACATCCTTATAGGTCATGGTGAGATTAGTGCAGTGTTAGGGTTATAGTAACTTCCATGAACCTCTAGTAGACAGAAGGGCTGGGGATGGAGTATAGGCCAGCAATCTTCTGGGAAATGAGCATGTTTCTGGGATACTCTTAGCAATACCCTCCCTTCTGATATACATGATCTTGTTCCCATTCTCTGCTCTCTGGCTGACAGCTCCATTTCAGAGCTGTAAAATGAGAACAGTATTCTACAGCCTGTGTGGCCTGGAGAGACTCTCTGGACATCAGTCAGCCGGGGAAGTATTTGGACACCTCACTGAGACAATTATTAGGCAGTCCCTCCATAAAGTGATTCCCCCATGCTCCATTTAGGGGGCAGAGTCATAGGGTATGTCTACACTATGGAATTAGGTCAAATTTATAGAAGTCGTTTTTTTAGAAATCGGTTTTATATATTCGAGTGTGTGTGTGTCCCCACAGAAAATGTTCTAAGTTCATTAAGTGCATTAACTCGGTGGAGTGCTTCCACAGTACCGAGGCTAGAGTCGACTTCCGGAGCGTTGCACTGAGGGTAGCTATCCCACAGTTCCCGCAGTCTCCGCTGCCCATTGGAATTCTGGGTTGAGATCGCAATGCCTGATGGGGCTAAAACATTGTCGCGGGTGGTACATATCGTCAGGCCCCCGTTCCCTCCCTCCCTCCATGAAAGCAAGGGCAGACAATCGTTTCGCGTCTTTTTTCCTGAGTTACCTGTGCAGACGTCATACCAAGCATGGAGCCCGCTCAGGTAACCATCACCGTATGTCTGCTGGGTGCTGGCAGACGCGGTACGGCATTGCTACACAGTAGCAGCAACCCATTGCCTTCTGGCAGCAGATGGTGCAGTACGACTGGTAGCCATCCTCGTCATGTCAGAGGTGCTCCTGGCCACGTCGGCCAGGAGCACCTGGGCAGACATGGGCGCAGGGACTAAATTTGGAGTGACTTGACCAGGTCATTCTCTTTAGTCTTGCAGTCAGTCCTATTGAACCGTCTTATGGTGAGCAGGCAGGCGATACGGATTGCTAGCAGTCGTACTGTACCATCTTCTGCCGGGCAGGCAAGAGATGAGGATGGCTAGCAGTCGTATTGTACCATCTTCTGCTGAGCAGCCATGAGATGTGGATGGCATGCAGTCCTTCTGAACCATCTGCTGCCAGCCAAAGATGTAAAAGATAGATGGAGTGGATCAAAACAAGAAATAGACCAGATTTGTTTTGTACTCATTTGCTTCCCCCCCTCCCCTGTCTAGGGGACTCATTCCTCTAGGTCACACTGTAGTCACTCACAGAGAAGGTGCAGCGAGGTAAATCTAGCCATGTATCAATCAGAGGCCAGACTAACCTCCTTGTTCCAATAAGAACAATAACTTAGGTGCACCATTTCTTATTGGAACCCTCCGTGAAGTCCTGCCTGAAATACTCCTTGATGTAAAGCCACCCCCTTTGTTGATTTTAGCTCCCTGAAGCCAACCCTGTAAGCCGTGTCGTCAGTTGCCCCTCCCTCCGTCAGAGCAACGGCAGACAATCATTCCGCGCCTTTTTTCTGTGCGAACGCCATACCAAGGCAAGCATGGAGGCCGCTCAGCTCACTTTGGCAATTAGGAGCACATTAAACACCACACACGTTATCCAGCAGTATATGCAGCGCCAGAACCTGGCAGAGCGATACCGGGCGAGGAGGCGACGTCAGCGCGGTCACGCGAGTGATCAGGACATGGACACAGATTTCTCTGAAAGCATGGGCCCTGCCAATGCATGCATCATGGTGCTAATGGGGCAGGTTCATGCTGTGGAATGCCAATTCTGGGCTCAGGAGACAAGCACAGACTGGTGGGACCGCATAGTGTTGCAGGTCTGGGACGATTCCCAGTGGCTGCGAAACTTTCGCATGCGTAAGGGCACTTTCATGGAACTTTGTGACTTGCTTTCCCCTGCCCTGAAGCGCATGAATACCAAGATGAGAGCAACCCTCACAGTTGAGAAGCGAGTGGCGATAGCCCTGTGGAAGCTTGCAACGCCAGACAGCTACCGGTCAGTTGGGAATCAATTTGGAGTGGGCAAATCTACTGTGGGGGCTGCTGTGATGCAAGTAGCCCACGCAATCAAAGATCTGCTGATATCAAGGGTAGTGACCCTGGGAAATGTGCAGGTCATAGTGGATGGCTTTGCTGCAATGGGATTCCCTAACTGTGGTGGGGCCATAGACGGAACCCATATCCCTATCTTGGCACCGGAGCACCAAGCCGGCGAGTACATAAACCGGAAGGGGTACTTTTCAATAGTGCTGCAAGCTCTGGTGGATCACAAGGGACGTTTCACCAATATCAACGTGGGATGGCCGGGAAAGGTATATGACGCTCGCATCTTCAGGAACTCTGGTCTGTTTCAAAAGCTGCAGGAAGGGACTTTATTCCCAGACCAGAAAATAACTGTTGGGGACGTTGAAATGCCTATATGTATCCTTGGGGACCCAGCCGACCCCTTAATGCCATAGCGCATGAAGCCGTACACAAGCAGCCTGGACAGTAGTCAGGAGCTGTTCAACTACAGGCTGAGCAAGTGCAGAATGGTGGTAGAATGTGCATTTGGACGTTTAAAGGCACGCTGGCGCAGTTTACTGACTCGCTTAGACCTCAGTGAAATCAATATTCCCACTGTTATTACTGCTTGTTGTGTGCTCCACAATATCTCTGAGAGTAAGGGGGAGACATTTATGGTGGGGTGGGAGGTTGAGGCAAATCGCCTGGCTGCTGGTTACGCGCAGCCAGACACCAGGGCGGTTAGAAGAGTACAGGAGGGCGCGGTACGCATCAGAGAAGCTTTGTAAACCAGTTTCATGACTGGCCAGGCTATGGTGTGAAAGTTCTCTTTGTTTCTCCTTGATGAAACCCCCCGCCCCTTGGTTCACTCTACTTCCCTGTAAGCTAACCACCCTCCCCTCTCCCTTCGATCATTGCTTGCAGAGGCAATAAAGTCATTGTTGCTTCACATTCATGCATTCTTTATTCATTCATCAAACAAATAGGGGGATGACTACCAAGGTAGCCCAGGAGGGGTGGTGGAGGAGGGAAGGAAAATGCCACACAGCACTTTAAAAGTTTACAACTTTAAAATTTATTGAATGACAGCCTTCTTTTTTGGGGGCAATCCTCTGTGGCGGAGTGGCTGGTTGGCCGGTGGCCCCCCCACCGCGTTCTTGGGCATCTGGGTGTGGAGGCTATGGAACTTGGGGAGGAGGGCAGTTGGTTACACAGGGGCTGTAGTGGCAGTCTGTGCTCCAGCTGCCTTTGCTGCAGCTCAGCCATACACTGGAGCATACTGGTTTGATCCTCCAGCAGCCTCAGCATTGAATCCTGCCTCCTCTCATCACGCTGCCGCCACATTTGAGCTTCAGCCCTCTCTTCAGCCCACCACTTACTCTCTTCAGCCCGCCACTTACTCTCTTCAGCCCGCCATCTCTCCTCCCGGTCATTTTGTGCTTTCCTGCACTCTAACATTATTTGCCTCCATGCATTCGTCTGTGCTCTGTCAGTGTGGGAGGACAGCATGAGCTCAGAGAACATTTCATCACGAGTGCGTTTTTTTTTCTTTCTAATCTTCACTAGCCTCTGGGAAGGAGAAGATCCTGTAATCATTGAAACACATGCAGCTGGTGGAGAAAAAAAAAGGGACAGCGGTATTTAAAAAGACACATTTTATAAAACAGTGGCTACACTCTTTTAGGGTAAACCTTGCTGTTAACATTACATACATAGCACATGTGCTTTCATTACAAGGTCGCATTTTGCCTCCCCCCACCACATGGCTACCCCTTCAACCCATCCCCCTCCCCGTGGCTAACAGCAGGGAACATTTCTGTTCAGCCACAGGCAAACAGCCCAGCAGGAACGGGCTCCTGTGAGTGTCCCCTGAAGAAAAGCACCCTATTTCAACCAGGTGACAATGAATGATATCTCACTCTCCTGAGGATAACACAGAAAGATAAAGAACGGATGTTGTTTGAACGCCAGCAAACATACACTGCAATGCTTTGTCGTACAATGATTCCCGAGTACGTGTTACTGGCGTGGAGTGGTAAAGCGTCCTACCATGAAGGACGCAATAAGGCTG